ACTGAATAATTCATTCATAAGAGCTTGAAATGTAGCAGGTGCATTAGTAAGGCCAAAAGGCATTACTTTAAACTCATAATGCCCCTGATGAGTTCTAAAGGATGTCTTATGGATATCATCTGTTTTAATTCGAATCTGCCAATAACCTGACCTCAAATCAATCTTTGGAAAATAAACTGCCCCGTGTAACTCATCCAATAAGTCCTCCACTATAGGAATATGGAATTTATCTTTGATGGTCAAACTGTTTAGTTGTCTATAATCCACACAAAATCTCCAAGTGCCATCCTTTTTTTTAATAAGAAGACAGGGAGAAGCAAAAGGACTCCTGCTAGGTTGAATAACAGAAGAATAAAGCATAGTAGCTATCTGTTTTTCCACTTCAGCCTTCTGATTGTGAGGAAATCGATAAGGCCTTAGATTAACTGGTGTAGCATTGGGAATTAGAGGAATTGCATGGTCATGTGTCCTCTGAGGAGGTAGTCCTTAAGGTTCAACAAAAATTTTGTTGTATTTATCCAAGATAGGCTGTAGTTCAATAGGAACAGAATAAGAGTTTCCTGCCATAGTCAATAGGACAATATGGCCCATAATATCATAATCCCTTGCACTCATTTTAAGTAATGTAGCTCCTGATATTTGATGTAATTCAGTTGAGGACTGTTGACCTTGAATACAAATCTGTTCCCCTCCATGGTCAAAGCTTAAGGTCATATTATTGAAATCCATTAAAATTGGACTGAATAATTTCATCCAATCAACTCCTAAGTCCATGTCACTTCCTCTCAATTTAAGCAGCCTAAAATCATGTAAAAAAGTATGTCCTTGTATTTCCCATTGTACCTTGTTGCATCTAGCAGAACTGAACAACTGTTGGACATTAGCCACAGTAATGGCCAAAGGATAAGCAGTATTCACCTGTATGCCAGCATCAGCCCATTTAGAAGTCAAGAAACTGTGTGTACTGCCATTGTCAATTAGGATACTCAATGTTTTTCCCTGAATATTACCCTGAATTCTTAATGTATTATGGCCAATGCAGCCAGTAATAGCATTCATAGAAATTTCCAAATTTTCCACCTCTTGTTGTTGAAACTGCTCTGCATCATTAGGACAAACTTCTACTGGAGAAGTGTCAACTTCTTCAGTAATCACATTTAACTTCCTAGTCTTGCACTGATGACCTGGAATGTATTTTTCACCACATTTAAAATAGAGACTGTTTTGTCTTCTATAATCCATATATAGAAGTAGACTTTGTAGCTATTGGCATTGCAGTTGGCTTAGATGTATTTATGGGGATTGGGTAGGATGGGCTTTAAAAGAATGCCTGAATCTTCTATTTTCAAATTCTACTGACAGTTCATAAAGCTTGGCTTGTTTACATGCTTAAGACAAGTTCTTAGGATCTAAAGCCTTGACCCTATGCTTAATATCATCTATGAGTCCACTAATAAAAAGTGACACAAAAAATTCTTCAATCAAGGTAGGATTCTGTAGGAGCATATAAGGTTGTAACTCCTCAAACTTCTCCTGATAATCCTCTACAGACCCCTTCTGTGTTAATTTAGTAAACTCCTCTACAATATCAGAAAAGGATCTATCACTAAATCTGTGACAATTATCAGCTTCAAATTCATGCCATGTTACATGATGTTTCTGCATTATATAACCATCAAACCATATTTCTGCTTTGCCTGTTAAATACATAGTGGCTACCTCCACTCTTTATTCCATAGGCACACCACAAATAGAAAAATATTTCAAGCATTTATGAACCCACCCTCTAGGATTAACACCTTCAAAGAAAGGAAGATCTATTTTGGGTCTGTGCCACATAGGTCCTGAGCTGTTAAATGAACCCCCTGGACCCCTTTTTTCAGCTTCCACTCCCAGCATAGTAGGTCTAAATTCACTGTTTTTCACCCATTTGATTTTCAGGCCTAAGGCTATTCTTAAGGGCTAAACAAGCATTCGATTTAGTCTTTAATATTCCAGGTTCATCCGTTTTGTAGGTAAATCTAGACTTATCATTCACCACAGTCACTAAAACATGAGTCTTCTCCCTATTTTTAGAATTATCAGGAGTGTTTACCTGATCACCTTCAGACTGCTCTTGTTCTCGATCTTTGCCAGTTAAAATCTTCAAGAGTTTTTCCACATATCCTTGGTTGGTAGCCATTCTATTCTCCATTGCAGTAATTATGTTCTCTTGGGCCTCCCACCATTTAGGTGGATTAGAATCATCGTTACCCTTTTTCACCAATGTTGTTAAATCTTCCATCTGTTTCTGTAACCCAGCTAAATCTGCCTCCATACTCTTATTTTTCTTTGTCATGCTCGTGATTTACTTTCCAGAACCGAAGCTTTCGATACCAATTTATTATGGAATTAAAGAAATAGAATAGGATTCGAGGAAGAATGAGAGAATTTAGAGAAGAAAAGAGTTCATTCATTTAATGCATAAGGAATTTTTACAATCAGAGCTGGTATTATTTAGTTACAATAGCCATATAATGTCTGTCAGTTGTCCAAGATTCATAACAGCTTACTAACAGAATGATTCTTCTCTTTATTTTCTTCTTCAGGTACTGGGCCTTCGTTCTTGGGCTGCTCCAACAGACAACCATCTCGCCCGGCCTGCTCCTCTGTTGTGGTAAGTTTCCCCGTGCCTACCACGTGATTTAATTCCCAATCTCTATCTTTAATCCCTAACCCTCGATCCCCATTTCCCAATTATTCCTCAATGCTTCCTCGCCTCTCCTTATCGATACTTTCTCGTCCTTCTTCTTCTCCATCCATAACAGATAATGAGCAGTATGTGTGGGAATCTCAAGCCGGTGGATCATTCACTGTCACAAGGGATACCTCTGGGGAGAACCTTGGTACGGGTACTAAAATTACTCTTTTCTTGAAGGAGGACCAGCTCGAGTACCTCGAGGAGCGACATTTAAAGACTTGATTAAGAAGCATTCTGAATTCATTAGCTACCCTATTTCGCTTTGGATCGAGAAGGAGATTTCCGACGATGAGGATGAAGAAGATAAGAAGGATGAGGAAGGGAAAGTCGAGGATGTTGATGAGGAAAAGGAAGAGAAGAAAAAGAAAAAGATAAAGGAGGTCTCGCATAAGTAATCATTGGTGAACAAACAAAAGCCGATTTGGATGAGGAAGCCTGAGGAGATAACCAAGGTAGAATATGATGCATTCTACAAAAGCCTTACAAATGATTGGGAAGAGCATTTGGCTGTCAAGCACGTTTCGGTTGAGGTCCAACTAGAGTTCAAAGCTGTCATCTGTTCTGAAGAGGGCACCATTTGATCTTTTTGATACAAGGAAGAAGCCCAACAACATCAAGCTCTATGTTAGGCGTGTCTTTATTATGGACAATTGTGAGGAGCTCATTCCCGAGTTTCTTGGCTTCATTAAGGGTATTGTTGACTCCGAGGATCTTCCTCTCAACATCTCCAGAGAAATGTTGCAGCAGATCAAGATTTTAAAGGTTATTCGCAAGAATCTGGTCAAGAAGTGCATTGAGCTCTTCTTTGAAATAGCTGAGAACAAGGAAGATTACAGTAAGTTCTATGAGGTCTTCTCTAAGAACCTCAAACTTGGTATCCATGAGGATTCTCATAACATAAACAAGTTTGCAGAATTGCTCCGATATCACTCTACCAAGAGTGGCGATGAGATGACCAGCTTGAAGGACTATGTGACCCGAATGGAGGGTCAAAATGACATCTATTACATCATTGGTGAGAGTAAAAAGGCAGTTGAGAACTCACCATTCCTTGAGAAGCTGAAGAAGAAAGGCTATGAGGTTCTCTATATGGTTGATGCCATCGATGAGTATGTTGTTGGTCAGCTCAAGGAATTTGAGGGCAAAAACCTTGTGTCTGCAACTAAGGAAGGCCTTAAACTTGATGAGAGTGAAGATGAGAAGAAAAAGAATGAAGAATTGAGGGAGAAATTTGAGGGTCTTTGTAAGGTCATCAAGGATGTATTAGGTGATAAGGTTGAGAAAGTTGTGGTCTCCGACTGTGTTGTTGATTCTCCTTGCTGTTTGGTAACTGGTGAGTATGGTTGGACCGCCAACAAGGAGAGAATCATGAATGCCCAAGCTTTGAGAGACAACAGTATGGCTGGATATATGTCGAGCAAGAAGACGATGGAGATCAATCCTGAGAATCCAATCATGGAAGAGCTGAGAAAGAGAGCTGATGCTGATAAGAACGACAAGTCTGTGAAAGACCTTGTTCTTCTTCTCTTTGAGACTGCTCTCTTCTCATCCGGGTTCAGTCTCGATGTCCCGAACACCTTTGTAAACATAATCCACTGGATGTTGAAGCTCGGGTTGAGCATTGATGAGGATGCAGGGGATGCTGAGGTTGATTCTGAGATGCCTCCATTGGATGATGTTGATGCCGAGGGATCCAAGATGGAGGAAGTTGACTAAGACTATAACATGTTATGGTTTTTTTTTTCTGATAAAATCTTTTAGCTCTAATGTTTTAGTAATGGGGAAATCTGGAGAACTTTGAATGTGCTTATATTTTTGAAATATATTCTTAGTTCCTCATAAAGCTCATTGTGCTTTTGTTATTGGCAATCATGTTTTAATTAGGTGAACTGCCTGGAGTAGTTACTAAATTTTAGTAAATTCTCATCTTTGCCATCAAGAAAAGTTTGCAGTTAAGTTTAGTCCAGCTTGACGCCATTGTTGCAGCTAATTTACTCCACGGAAAGCTATTGCCTCTTAAAAGAGGAACCATGATCATGAATGCCTTTAGCAACTTTATAATGAGCACGCATTTTATTTTACTAATCATTCCCTCGTCAATTTGGCTGACGCTAAAACCATACCCTATCCATGGTTTGTAAATGGCCCGAATTCGTGGCGAAACGCTCCCTCATCTTACTTTGCATAGACAGTAACTTGCTGTCTCATCTTCAACACCAGTTATGGTGATCAATTTGGTATTATTCCTCCCCGACCCCAAATGGTATGGTCCGCTCATAGGAACAGTCCAGTCAAGGATCAGGCACTGTTGGAGCTCACTTCTGAAGGTAAACTTGTCTTGAAAGATGCTAACGATACTCAGGTTTGGTCTAAAGGCAAGTCTGTCTCGACCTCTTGCTGCTTGAAAACCAACCACATTGTTCGGCAGTCATTCGACCACACGACAGACATTCCAGTCCGTGGCCAATGGTTAGTGTCATGGCAGAAACTGAGAGCCAGTATATTGCTACATGATTCGAGAGAAGGTTTATATGCAGTTGCAAATAACATTCACCGCTGCTTATATGGGTTCAGATCCTTCCCAATTCTATTGTAGACGTTTACTCGCAACCAAATGATTATTCATTGTACGCCAGTTATTGTGGGCTCAACTCTCGGAGCTATGTTTTGAGTTCCTTATTTGCGCTTTCTTCCCCCCCCCCCCTCCTCAGATTTAGGGAAGGGTTCCAAGAAGTCGAGGAAGATTATCTAGACAGCTTCCGGGGCATTCCCACTAGATTCTCTTAAGAAGAGTTGAAGAATGTTACCAAGAGTTTTAGCAACGAGCTCGGTGAAGATTCGGGTCTGTTTTTCATGGAAACTTACATTAAGGTTCTGAGGTTGTGGCATCTCGTCGGCTTTGGTTTGGTTAACAAGTCCTTCATGACTGAAGTTCAGACAACTGGAAGCATTCATCATTTCAATCCAATAGGCTAATAGACAGACCGCTAGATCAATGGATCTTTTCAACAAAAACCATGGAACTACTCCCGGTTGGCAAATTAGAAGATCGATTCTATAGATATAAGTATAACCAAAGTCGAGCTCATAATTTTTTCCAAACATGATAAAAACCCCAAAAAGATCTTGAACAAAAAAGTTGGAATCTCACTAAAACTGCTACTGATTTGCTTATTTGCCTTGTTCAACTTTTACATTCTCAGACAGATTTCCATATTCCAGAATAGAAATTGAAAATTTCTTTTCAAATGGCCCCACAGTTCTTTTTTACATTACGACCATCTGAAATTAACCAAAATCACTAAGAAGAACCACCAACAGAATATTCAATGGTTGAATATGGACGCACACAAGAAGAAGAAAATTAACCAATGAACCAAAACCTCACAGAGGCTCACTCCCTTTTCCGATTTATATTTGAATCTGCCACCACATCCCGTATGAAATAAGGCCAAATGAAAGCTTTAACCCAATTGCTGATTTCAGGTATCATCGACTTGTGAGTGGAAAACAAAGCTCGGGAATGTTGTGGTGATATCTCTGCTCAATGAAACATGCAAAGAATAGTTGCAGTTGAGCACACATCACTATCCGTAAATCTTTTACGATAACACAGCTGATAACTTTGCTTACTACAGAGTATATTTGGAACTTACTTGAGGTATTGCAGGGTCATATTTTTCAGAAGGGATGGATGTCGCAAAACTAAACTTCGCCACTCTTCCTTATCAATCCTCCCATCATGTTTTGTATCAGCTTCCTCAAAAGTCTGTCAAAAGGATCCGAAACTTAACATGTAGAAACTAGACCGAAGAAAACAAAAATTACAAGAAATACAGCTTCAATTAAATCAGATTTAAGTTACTACCTTGTCAATTATACTTTCTATAACATCATCTGAAAGGTTCATGCCAGACTCAGCAAGTGTGGCCACTACCATTTGCTTGACCTATAAATGAAAAATATATATATAAAGTGAGAAATGGAGAAAAAGGAACAAACAAAAATGATCAAATCAAAATCGCAGTACGTACCTCCTGTCTCTCAATGTAACCTTGCTGCTTGAGATCATATAGTTGAAAAGAGACTGCAGATGAAAAAAATATAATAATTGAGAGAAGGTGAAGCACTTAGTTACTGGAAGCAGACATGCTTAAGTTCATAATTTTATTTCTAGTTATCTAGATACAACCACCAAGTTAACAAAATTAATGTTATGACCAAATACGCAAATAGAGGACTTGTTGCAGACAACTTAAAATATTGGGCACATACACTCAATCTTATCGTCAATAGGAGCATTTGGATGAAAGACAGAAAGAGCACGGGCAAACTCTTCAAAACCTAGAATTCCATTATGCTTTGTATCAAACAAGTCAAAAACCTGCAGTGAAATCAGAAATACGTCAAAAGTAGCTCAAGACAAGAAGCTAATAATTTGTGCTAAAATACTACAAATAACTGGAATAACTGGCATGATGAGATCGACAAGAATTCTTTTATCAATAATGAAAATAAAATAATAATTAACATTAGATAAAAAAAAATTACCCGATCAGCAAACAAGCTCTCCTTTTTGTTTGTTTTGAATAAGGCCAGTTGAAACTCCTCCTGCAATAGAATATAAACAAAAGTCAAATACTAAAAGGACCATCCAAGTTCAAAAACTTGACAAACATAACAATATGTATTGATTCACAATAAAATGTACAAAAAAAGTAATTAAAGAAACCTTGTTAATCAGCCCATCATCTATCACCGCACTGCTTATCTTCTTGAAGAGTTCATAAAGTGCTTCTATTTCACTTACACTAACTGCATCAAGGTGAGCAAAACAACAAATTCCAGTAAAATGAATTACCAAATTAACATAGGCAAAGTCCGAAGAAGACGTTAAATTATGCAAAAGCATTGACACTATCGTTCTAATAGTAGGGTAAAAGCTAAACAGTATAACCTAAGAAGAAAAGAAAACGGAAATTGATAACATACAAACTGTCTCCCTTGCGAGAAGTTCAGGATCCCCGAGACCTCTGGGTTGCTTGTACAAATCAATATCACAACAGTGCAATACAGAAGCAAATAAATGCTTCAATCCGTCTAAGCACTGCAACATGAAACCAAGATTTCAACCAAAATCTGTATGCTTCAAACCGGAAAAACCGAGCCTGATTTGTGAAAATCAGTGTGCTTAGCGTCCTCAAACTCAAAACAATATCTGTTGCACAAATGAAACCAATAAATATCTGAGGAAAACTATGTAATGTTTCCTTTTCACTCATTACATATAATCAATACAATCAGATAATGCATACAGCAAATTCAAGAACCAAGAAATACAGAACACGAGAGGGAAAATAAGAATAATCATACAATTAAATAATTTCGTATACGTCCAGGTTGATCACAAATCACTATGCTTTATTTTTCTCAAGAAATTGCAACAGTTAGAACTTGGAATGATATGCATATATTGAACAGAAATTTCCAATAAAGAAAAGAAAAAAAAATATCAAGAGCCCAATTCAAACCTAAAAAATCACGCCTTCATAACAAATTGAACATGATAAGGATCCAATCTAACCAAACCTGATCAAGATCTACCGAAAGCATGAAAAAACTATAAATTAAACTATTTACTTTCAGCTAACAAAGATTTCAAAATACGTTCTCCTCAATTTTCTCGGAAAACAAACAGAGGGAATAAACGAATTTATGGAACCGAAAATATGTTAATTATTACCTCTTCTTGGGGAGAGTGAATGGGTATAGTATGGGAAATCTGTGAAACCGGCCGTGACTTAAAATAGAGATGGCGATTGAGAGAGCTGGAGATTTCAATGATTTAGATATACGCAGACATGAAAAGAATTATAGAATATTTTTAATTAATTAATTGAAAATAAAAATGTATATATAAATAAATAGTAATTAGATACTTACCAAAATTTGACAATACGTGGCAACTGATGCTGTTACTTTGATAGGGAGGTTGCTTTTTGTTTGACAAGAGCAGCTTCGTCACTCGTCTGGACAAGGATAACTAATACGGCGCCGTATTGTATTATTGATTCACCTAGAATTTTTTTTAGAGAAAATAATCTCAGTGACCAAAATTCTCATATAATATACGATTTTAACCAACTTTTTCCGGATTTGCCAAAATGACCAACAAAATCGCAATGCGATCACTAATTCGCAACGCGATCTCCATTATCGCAAATTCGCGTTGCATTTCGCGTTGCGATGGTCTACAGTGTCGTTGCGATTTTCCCAATTCGCAATGCGAATAAGTAAATCGCAACGCGAATTGGGAAAATTGCAATGCGATACTGACTATCGCAATGCGATACTTACTATCGCAATGCGATAATACAAAATCGCAACGAGATACTGACTTTCGCAACGCGATTCTGACTTTCGCAACGCGATAATACATAATCGCAATGCGATTTTCAAAGCGCCATTAGTATCCTGGCCAAGTATTTTATTTTTAAATTCCAAACACGAATATTAATATATTGGAACACTGAACCGTCCACAGTATATCCCGTAATCGCAACTCATAACCTAAAACCTTAAAATCACAACTCAGTCCCATCTCTATCTCTCACTCTCTCACCCATCTCCGACGAAATCCGTCCCCATCTCCGGCGAAATCCGTCTTTCTCCATCTCTCAGAGAAAATCAACCAATCAACCAACCTTTTTGAAATTTTTGCGAGGGTTAGTTTTTTTAATTACTGGTAATTTCAATAATAGATTAACCATTTCACTTAGATTGCTTATTAAATCAACCGAGAATCGCAACGCGAAATGCAAATCGCAACGCGATTTTAGTTTCGCGTTGCGATTCTCTCGTTGCGATAGTCAAATTCGCGTTGCGATAGTCATTTTCGTGTTGCGATTTTCATTTTCAGAAACTATTCTTCTTCTGCAAATTGAAACTTGAATGAATTGCATTACTTCAACCAAAAAACAAAGACAAATACGAAATTCACAGTGTTACAAATTTAAGTTTGAAGAATAAACTACTACTCTTTATGTTTATTATTGTTTTTGGTATATCTTCACAGTGTAGTTTTTGGTATATCTAACTTAGTATGTTTATTGTTTTTGTAGAACTTTTATTCGGCTCAATTGACCTTAAGAAATAAAGTCAGCCTGGCCAAAACAATTGCGTCGAAGCTTTCACCTGCACAAAGAAAAATGTTTGAGGATACATGCTTCGGGCCATGGCTGAAAGTACAACATCCCGGTGGAGATGCGATGTTGACACACTTGTTTCTTCAAACCATGACTAGCGATCTACCAGAGACTATACAACGTCGTGATGAAGAGATATGGTTTGATTTTCCACCGGCGTATACGTGTTTTGGGCGGGAGGAGTTTTGCTTAATCACTGGTCTACGCTTCGGACACGATGATGTAGGTCGGTACACTAGACACATTACCCGCCCATCATGGCTATCCCGGGTTTTTCTTGAGCTGGAGAGGTCGAATCTACACGTAGAAGACCTGACAAGATTGTTGAATAAGAAAGATGGTTTTACTCGGATGGATGACGTCGACGTTGTCCGAGTATGCCTTCTAATTC